CTTTGGATTCGCTAGAACTCGAGCTAGCGGTGGATGAATCTCTGGTAGATGATTCCTCCGAGTCGGTGTTTGAAAATTTACTTTTCAACCGCTCAAAAGTTTGTTCTATTTCGGGGTTTGATTGGTAGGTGATTTCGTTCAGTGAACGATATTTAACCATATACTTCAAAGCTCAGAAATAGAAAAATAAGAACTCTTTATATTTTTATTTAATATTTTTTTATTGACTTTTCTTGAAATGAAATAAAAGAAAATTTATTGCCTTTCCACGGCAACGGCGCCAAATTTGACGTGCACTTGTCGTGAGGTGCACTCAAAATAAATACAATACAACGAATATACGTAGTATAACGAAGTAAGGTTCGTATCCACAGGGAAAGGAATATTTATCTTTTATAATAACAGTAACAAAAGGGGGGGTTTGAGTTTGATTTGATTTAATTTAATTAACACTAAGATGAATGACTTATGTGGTTTAATTAATGGAGATGAGGACTTGATTTTGCTTTTATTCACTTAATGAAATGTTCGTCGATCCCGGTTATATCTTTAACTATCTTCCTTTCGAATACTCGATCGAGGAGTATATCCCGTTAATCGAGGGTAGTTATTAATAACGAGATGCGTTCATTAATAAAACTTACTATCGAGTCAACATAGAACAAGCACCGTATATTAATTCCATAGTAGCAATAAGCTTAAGATGAAAACGATTGAGATTGATAACCTCAACACAAGCGGTTTATTGGTTTAATCAATATATAATTAATTCCCCTTGGTTTATTAACCATGAGATGCATGCATTAACAATCCAAGTTTACTACCTTTGAAGGAACCGAATTAATAACAAGCGTATCAATCTCTTCAAGAATACTCGATTATTACTTTGGATAGTCTTAGGTGTTGATCACAATCTATCTTTAGAGCCAACTTCAACATCATCAAAGGCATTGCTAAATCCTTAAGCTATTGTGGGTTTAAATGAAAGTTTTATGTACAAACAGTCCGTAATATGAGTGTCTGATGCGTGAGACCTGAAATTCATATTTTCGGTAGTCCACGGTTGCTACATTGTTGTCAATTACTTACGAAGTACTGTATTGTTTAATAGTTGGTGTGGATGTTTATTTGTAATTTTGTACCAAAGATTATGGTTTCTAAGTAATTCCCATTTCATGGGAATATTAATTAAATATTAAACTTCTTTGTTTATCATTTGTAGTCATGCAAAATGAAAGTTGGAATATGTTCTGACAAAAAGTTATGTTTGATATGAAATTAGTCTCATAAGATTGAGTTGAGTTTTAATTGTGTGTTAAACTTCTTGCTTGTGTCTTACCTTAACATTTCTTTTATCTGTATTTCATAAAAAAAATCTTTTCTGGTAGTTTGGATCCTTTGAACCATGCCTTATTCTTTATGAGTTAAAGTAATAATAAGTTCATAAAAAAATATACTTTAATTATCTATTCCATTTAAAAGCTTGTGGTTTTTGAATTACATGATGATTTGTATTTGTTTTGTGCAATGACAATGATTATATAGTATCACAAATATGTTAATGAGACATAACTTAAAGATCTCAAAATAACATAAGTGTTCATTAATCAAGTAGAGATATACTACTATAATCTTCTATCAACATAGTTATTTTGGCACTAATCCAGTAATCAAGATGAGAAAAACTATTATGGAGAAAAAATATATTATGCAAAAGCAAATAAGTTACATATAAATCGCTTTCACCATCACCAAATAAGGCAATAATAAAAATTATACTACATAGTTTTTTGGCATGCAGAAATGAGCCACTAAAATCCTCAATTTGACTAGCGGTTGGTAAGAAATTGTTGATACCGTCCGATTTGATCAACCACCGAAAATGAGATTCAAATGTCATTTCTCTCATATTATGACTGTGTTTCAGAAATGAGCAAATAATTGAGGTTGCGGCCCACGGAGCTACTAAATTGGATGTCAACATTCTAGAAAAATTTGGTCTAACTATCATTGCTAAGGACGATCAATAAAAATTCACCATGTGATCGATTACATCGACCAAGGATGCACAACTTTTAGACTAGGAGAGAACATATATAATGAATAATACCCACTTGCTAAATACTATCGTATAAGTCATTTATGTTTTGAAAAAAACGAGGGATTGAGAGGGGTGGGGGTTTCACTCCCATCACCGTCTTAGGAAGAGCTCTCTCAGATAATTGTACTGGGAAGCTTTTTATGTTGGGCAAGTTTTAATATTCCGCTTTATGTGTTCTACTAGGAAGTTTTTTATGTTTGAAATTGATGAATCGTGTGAAGTTTTAAATCATGGGTAAATTTTGATGCATTTATGAATAAGGGTTTTTGAATTGGTTTTATGTTGATTTTTTGTGTCTTCTTCAATCATTGATAAAGTGACATTGTATGATATCGACACGATTTTTCTCATTGAGAAGCAAAGCGATAGTAAATAACTTGTGAATACCTGGAAGAGAAAGTTCTCTTATTCCGGCATCAACTGCATTCCTTTCTTTTTCAGTTTGATTTTTAGTACATGCCGTATATATTCTAGGGATCTTTTTTTAAATCCACCGAACATATTCGAGGGTTCAATGTGACTATTGTCACTTCGGAGTTTATTAGTCCGAAGTGAATAACAACATACAGGGAAATTGTAAAATGAAAAATAGTTACTTTTTCATTTTTTCATTTCTTACATATGAAAAAATGAAAAATTGTTGTTATTTTGATCAGAATAATTTGTTACTAAAACGTACGAAATATAGTTATGAAGATCTTTCAGCTGCTTAGTCAGGTACATGATAGGTGGTAACTATCTTGTACGGTTCGGGGGGTAATCGGCGTACTCCGATCAGTGGGGGAGGAATCTTTGGCTCTATCGAACATACAGGGAATTGGAGGTAGCATTCTACCGATGTCAAGTCATGGACTGGTTTCTTCAGCCCTTTTTCTATGTGTTGGTGTTCTATATGACCGACATAAGACTCGACTTGTTAGACGACCAGGCATTCTACCTTTGTCGAATCGGAACCAACACCACTGCATTGCGCTCGAACAGTTGAGCGGCCCGTACACAGATCTAGATTCATTCTTCGTACCTGGTCCAGCCTCACAACCCTTCGCGGCCCTCGGATATACTTTAGCCACATCTTCACCCAGTTCAAGAATGAGGCGATCAAGAAAGTCGTGGGCCTCGTAGTACCCGCATACGACAGCTCTGTGGAGCTTTTCGGGTCGATAACCTGTTCGACGTCAGAACCGATCTCTATTCTCCTGCTCGCGTTTACAAGGTTTCCCACTCACTCTATTGAGTAACAGCCCTTGTTGGGTTCTGCAAGGAAGCATCTCGATAGGTCCGCAACTTGTGCTGTCCCCAAAAGAGCTAGAATGAAATACTCGATTCGCCGTGTGTGATAGAATTGTTTTCAGGTTTGAAGTCATACACTTGCTTCTTGGAAGGAAAGTTCCACAAGATCCTAGGCTCCGGCCATCCTCTTCTCTTCTGCTGGTCAGGAGCTCTCTTCCCAATGGACAGGAAGGATTCACTTTGTTCGTTAGGCTAAACTGAGAGGCTCACTGGCAGATCCTTTGGTTCTATCTTCATGAGCTTGCCTAACTAGAGAGGAAACCAAGTCCTTCATACTCACTCGTAAATGATTGGTGTCATAATTTTGAACTAATCAGTCTCATCCGTGTAATAATTAGGAATTCCTCTTCCAACTCGTCCCAGAATGGGCGTTATGGCAAAGAACAAGAAGAATACAAAAGGAGAAATTTGTCCAATAGTAACAAATGGTGCCTCCACAGGTTGAAATTTTTAGTAAATGCAATTGAGACAGACGATAAAAAATCTTCTGCAATAGAAAAAATAGGTAAAGAACAATACAAATCGGAGTTTGAAGAAGGAGAAGGAGTCCTCGACCCGCAACGGAAATATGTAAAGAAGGGGAAAAGGAGGGCTTTCTTCACTTGCTTGCAAAGAGGTTTCCCCCACTTAAGGAGGGCCGATGGAAATATGAATATACTTGCTTTATCAGCGCCTCATGATGACTTCTTGCTTGATAGTTCTCGCTTGTTCCCTGTCTGAAGTCAAGGCGCCATAGTTCTTCCACTAATTCAATTACCCTTGTCAAGGAATGCATTTATTCTTGTGTCTTTTCTTTTATTGGCATTGTCCGAGTGTATTTCATACTTTCATCCTGTACAGCCAAGACATCTAGTTTCGTGCTTCCGTCACTTCTTGTTATATCGTTCGTGCCCCGTCAGTCCCGACGGATTCAATCAATATATCAATTCATCTCTCCATTTTCTGTGAAAAGGGGGACAGGGAGCATAATTGAATTCTCAACGGGGGATCTCTTTTTTTCAACTCAACCTAGATATTGAGGTCAATCTATACATTAGTGTGAATTGAACGATTCAATATTTCTTTGAGAAGTCGGCTATGGGATAGGCGCTAGTGGGCTAAGGAAGCATGAAGTCAGAGAGGATTTCTTACATATGAAATCCTCTCTGACTTAGTTTTAGAACAAAGTGAATAGTTCTATCAGTGATCTTTTTTTTATTAGTCTGTTGTAAAACCGAATCGTGTCATTTAAGTAGTCGTGTTGTGGTGTCGTAGTCCACATAATAACAAATTATTCTGATCAAAATAACAACAATTTTTCATTTTTTTAAAACGTTGTACCTAAATTATTGTGCAGATGGACACTGGTGGAATAACTAGTATTCGGTATATTGCATATTCAGCTCACCTCTGATCTGTCTTCAACCAGCATAACGCGGCGCCACAATTTGTTTGGAGTCTTATTGCATAATCTTGTCATCACGCGCGTATATATGCTATATATAACCCGCATCCACTAATTCTATTAATATCCTTTCTTCTGATTCGAAGATTAATTAATTGCAAAATAAATACCATAATTAAATGGCCGGCCGTCATCTTCATCCACATCATCATCTCTTGGTCGGCGCCGTCCTTATTTTCACAATCGCCGGCGTCTCCTCCTTCTCTGTTTCTGGTTGTGACGGCTGTGTCCATCAAACCAGAGTCTCTTACTTCTCTAACGCTTCTGCCCTCCTCTGTACGTCCTCACGCCTCTTTCAATTCTCAATATGAATAACTAATTTAATCTGGTATTTATATCTATGTGAAAATAATGGTGAATTGCAGCTGGTGCTTGTGGGTATGGGTCGATGGCCGTTGGTTTATACGACGGCGGACGAATTGCTGCGGCGGTGCCAGCCCTCTTTAAGGACGGGGCCGGTTGTGGCGCCTGTTATCAGGTCGGCTATTCAATTGGATCACCTCTTCTTCCTCTGTCTTACATGAAGGAAATTTGGAAAAACTTTGTGTACTCTTTTAGAGCCCGTTTGTCGGCACGAAAATCGGCTGTTTTGATTGATTCTGCTGAAATTTATGAAGTTCTGGCTGAAGTGGCTGCATTGGCTGATTCCGCTGATACAAGAAAAAAATATTTTTAAAATATATTTTATTAATAAAATAAAGAAAAAAATATATGTAAAAATAGCTAAAATAATCATCTACAGTAACTTCAGGCAATACAGTCAGAAAAGAAACTTCAACATTACTTTTTCGACTTATTACACAATTCAGCGCGTGAAAACAAATTTTACGTGTTTGGTAAAAAAGTTGTCTGATAAGCTTGATAAGCCGAAAATGAGGGTTGTCAAACGACCTCTTAATGTTTATACATTTTTTCACACGTTTCTGAAAGCTATTTTCTTGTGAAGACAGTGTTTACAAGAAAACATGTTTTTATATGAACAGAAAAAAAACATTCAGAAATGTGTTTACAAGTGTGAAAATACTAAAAATTTGTGCGTAAAAATTTGGTGAACATATTTAGTGGAACCATGATTTATATATTAGCTGGAATTATAAATTTTTTATTTAAACGAGGAAGTGACAAAATAGCAACAAAAAAGTTAACAAAATTTAAGAGATGGAGGAGTCATGCCCAAATACTCCTTTCTATGTTAATATTTGCAATATTATATCTAATTCATTTTGCTACTTCAACCAACATACTACTCTTATTTTTGAATATATATTTCATTTTTCTATTCCTGTTTAGGGGTAACTTCTTAAAATTTTAATTGAACTATAATTTGGGGCATGTTTGGCGTGGTCGCTGCAGATGAGTTGCAAAGACCCAAGCATGTGCAAAAAAGAAGGGACGACGGTGATGGTCACCGATCTTAACACAAACAACCAAACAGATTTCGTGATCAGCAGCAGAGCTTTCATGGCCATGGCTAAACAGGGCAATGAACAACACCTTCTTAAGCTTGGCATTCTCGAAGTCGACTATAAAAGGTATTGTACACTGCATAAGGGGCCCACCCGTTATTACTGGTTTTCTTTGTTCCAAAGGTGGAATCTCCCACCCCAGGAGCCCCCCACCCCGACCCGACAGGATGGTGGGAAGGTTAATCACAGTGACTCAGTCAGCAGAATGTCAGTAAGCTCATACATCCGTGCGCACAAGAGACACAGCCTTATTTCAGTTTCTATGACCTCCACCCGGTCGCTGCGGGGATTCGAACCTTAGTCTATTGTTCCAAATATCCGTGCGGGTTACTGGTTTTCTATGACCAACTGAGCTACCCGTGCGGGTTACTGGTTTTCTTTTGAGACCATGAAAATAATATTTTCTCGGCAATGAAACACCCTCATTATGTAAATAATTGGTTTTTTACATTTTACATGTGCATTTTATTTCCTAGAAAGCTTTTGAAACATATTTTAAAAATGTGAATAATTGGTTTTATATTGTCTCAACTCTTATAGTAGTGTCAATTTTTTTTTAAAAGGATAAGTTTACAAGTTCCTCACAGAGTTGTTTTGGAGTTAGAAACGAACTAAAAACAAAATAGTGTATATTACAAGGATTAAAAATCAAAAAAATAGTTGCAACTTGCAGAGTTCAAAACAAAATGTGTCATATTTGTAGAAACTAAAAATGTATTTAAACCTTTGGAAAATACAGTAATATATATACAAGCTAAGTAATTTATTTCCAATTCTGTTTTTCCATTTGACTTTTATCTATATTGGTAAGCGTATACTACGTAATACTCCGTACACGTTTTCTTTAAATTGGATTTGCATCGGATTTATATTTCACGTAAGATATTGAGGAATTTGACTTCGCACCCCACTTTTTGGGTGATTGGACTTTGCTCCCCAGTTTTAGTAAAAATTTGACTTTACCCCCCAACACATACCATTTTGTGAAGAAAAATTTCTAAATGGGGTGCAAAGTCAAAAAAAATTTAAGCGAAATGGAGTGCAAAATCAAAGTTTTTTCAAAATGTGATGCAAAGTCTAATATCATCAAAAAAGTGTGGTGTAAAGTCAAATTCATACTTTACCCTCGTGCTTTTAAGATTCCATTTAGGCAATATAACGGATTTATTTTCATTTCTAATAATATTCCTTGTAAAGTTGTAAGTGAAGGAGTACTTTTTTTCAATTCTTCCAAGTAGACAAGAAAAGTAAAGATAAGCGCATACTGGTCCATCCATTTAATTATCATTCTATCTTAATGAAAAGAAATTGGATAAAGTTGAAAAACAGATGGAAAATTTATTGAATAATAGAAGAGAATTGAAATATGACAAAGAGTCAAGAAGTTTTCAATCATGTCCAAATTAAATTTGCCAAAAGTTTCTATATTAGAGATTTATTTATGTGTGTATTATTAGAACCACAGTCACTGCTCCCATGACCTATCATCAATAATTGTGTAATTGATGAAGAGTATTTTAAGGGCGTGTTTGTTTCAATCGTCTTAGATAAACATGGGACAGTAGTTTCGTTTTTTCTACAACAACATGACTTTTTCATGACCACTAGCTAACGCACGCACGCACTCAGGAATCGTTATAAGCTATTATTGTGTCATGCACTAACAATCTTAGTTGAGTGTGAGAAATTTGGATCAAGGAATCAAGGTTCGAATCCTGCAACGATCGTGTATATAGGGACTCTGAAATGGGCTTGTAATGAGGCGATTCTTCCAGCTCAGGCCTCTAATTTCATCCACAAAGGATGAATATCACCACTATAGCCTAAAGGGGAAAATGTGATAGAGGTTTTAGAGCTTGACATAGCCAAAAACCCTTCCTCCATAATTCGAACAAACTGCTCCTCCGTGGACCTTGAATTGGCAGATTAGGTTTTAGAGGTTGTTGCCACAATTTTTCCCCTTTAGGCTATTGTGGTGATATTCATCCTTTGTGGATGAAATTGGAGACCTGAGCTGGAAGAATCGCCTCATTACAGGACTGAACCTCTGGCGCGCACGGGTATATGAATTTACTGTCACTTTCCTAACTGAGTCACCGTGATTTACATACATCCTCTCACATGCTTTGTCGGGTCGGGGTGGTCGGGGTGTGGGGCTCCGGGGTGGGAGATTTCACCTTTTCTTGGAAAAAGGATTCAAACGTATGTAGTGTGAGGACACGGCAATACAATTATACAACCTATTCCAATACTAAACTTGCGTCCAAACATTAATTTGATTCATATGATTACGAAAGTTCAAATTATTTCAATTATAAAGAATAAATATATGTAGAGGTTTATGTCTAATTGATTCCTTTGCACTGCCTCAAGTTATATATGGCTATTATTGTCTACAATGACTACTACAATCAAGGGCAGATGCAAGAATCTTGATAAGACTGGATTGAAGAAATAATTTATATTACCTCATCTTCATTTTACGTATCTTGTTTCAATTTGATACAATTATTAATAAAGTTGTTGAAAGAATATAAATTTTGGTTGAGATTTAAGTATGATGAAATAGAATGTTATGAACCACACATTTCTTTCCAAAAAAATGTGACATTTCTTTCCACAATTAGAACATTTATTGGGATCGAGAGAATATATATTAACATTAGCGGGAGAGATAAATATGAAAAATGAAAAAATTTAAATTAGCCTCGTCTAGCATATTGTAGCCCTAATGTATTGATCCAAAAATCAATACATTAGGGCTACATTATGCTAAACCGAGGCTAATTGTAGCCCTAATGTAATCCTCCTAGAACAAGTTACAAATAGTCATACTGCATTAATGAAATAAATTCTCGTATAATTAAATGAGTGGATCTTGTGTACAGGGTGGCTTGTGATTATTATAAGAACAAGAATTTGGCAATCCGTGTGGAAGAATCAAGCCAAAAGCACAATAATTACCTAGCGATTAAGTTCCTTTATCAGGCTGGCCAGACTGAAATTGTATCTGTTGACGTGGCTCAGGTTTGTAGTAGGCCCCACTAGTAATATTATAACTCCATTCATCATTATCATGTTTTCTTGTTCTATTAATTAAAGGCAAATTCCATTACTCCCCAAATTTGTCTTAAAATTAACAAATTCCAATTCAGTTTCATAAGGAAATCATGGATTATTGGATTGATCACATTCACCAACGAATTGTTTTAGATATGTTGTTCTCACCTATTGTTCTCACATCTCACCAATGAGTCATATTGTTTTAGCTTGTAAATCCTACCTTTTAGTTTTTATACTATTTAAAAACTCTCCAAAAGTTTTTAGTTGTATACAGTGACGGAGCTCACTGTGTTCAAAATTGTGCATGTGAACACCCAAAAGTTTCGATTAGAAATGTAAAATTGCATATATATATAAAATTAATTTAATAATTTATTGTACTTTACATGTATAATACTTCTTAATTTGTACGTTATTGCCTTTTTTTGTTTTTGTTAAGATTTATGTGTAGAATTGTACCATCAAATAATATTATTGTTCATAATTTTAATTGTAAAATAACTTTGAACACCCAAAATTAAGATGTTAGATCTGTCACTCGTGGTATATACGGTAATACAAAATTTTAAAGCTTTTTACAATTTTTTTTTTTTTGAGATGCTACGGTGGGTAACATCTGGGGAAAAGTCAGTAACTTTTAGCATTAATTAATCACAATAGCTTCTTAAACCAAATAGAACTAAATCAAACAATCAACTTTTTATCCAACATCTACAACATTTTCCTTTTAAGTTCCTTTCTTTCACTAAAAATTAACGGTTATTAAAAATGCGTTCAGGTGGGGGAGTCGTCTAGTTGGAGCTTTATGACCCGCAAACATAGTGCTGTCTGGGAGACTAGTCAAGCGCCAAGCGGGGCATTGCAATTCCGGTTGGTGGTAACGGCGGGATACGACGGCAAGTGGTATTGGGCAAAGAAGGTGTTACCGTCAAATTGGCAAAATGGGGTGACCTATGATTCCGGATTACAGATCACTGACACCGCCCAAGAGGCTGGTTGTTCTCCATGCGACGCCAGCCCTGCCACCGCCGCCTTTGTACAAAATTGACCCTAATTAAGCAACCTGTCTCCATAGCTAACTTACCATGCCACGCACCCTAGATTAAATTGTACCTTTTGTTTTTTTTTTTGAATTATACCATTGCATTCTGGTGTATAGTTGGTAGATTGAGCTGTATTAAATATACTTATTACGAAGTATATTATACGGTTGTAAAGTTCTAATTCATATCTTCCATCCAATAAACTGATCCACATGGAGATCATATCAGAAAAATATGAATAAAACTGGTAACGTTTCTCATTAATAAAGCTTCTAACTTTCGACGATTTACAAGTAAAAGATGTGTGGTTGAGATTTGTCTAAAGGAGAAAAAAAATATGCAGAACCATAAATTAGTTAATTTAATAGGAAATTGACAAAATTTTTTGGAAGTAATAATAAAAGCATGAACCATCGGTTAGAACCAATTAAATACTCCCGGTCCTAAATGAAATTCACACTTTGACTTCACACAAATTAAGGAAATAAATTTGATTTTACCGTAGAATACACTGTTGTGACACTGTTTGACACTATTTGGCACTGTTTTGGAGTATTTTGATATAAATAATTTGTCAAATAAGTAATAGAGAAGAAGTGTGAACTTTACTTTGGACCAACTTAAAAATGAAAGTGTGAATTTCGTTTGGGACCGGATGGGTATAAGTCGTAGTGATGAGGTATCATATATCCACGACCACGCACATATCGATCAAAAGTTTCATTGTAGTGGTCAATCCTTTCTAATTTGAATTATGACGAGTGTGAGCGTTGACAAGACATCTGAACCAATTTCATAAAGAAATACGGAGTATGTATGCAGTATGTACATGTACGTATTATCTAATATTGATTGTGAAAAGTATTGATAGAGTTAGATCCGATTTGACCAATTTGGCTTTAAAACTTAAAAGCACTGTAGTTGTGATTGCCTGAGCAGCCGAGCGAATTCGTGCCTTATTTAAAAACAAAATTTCTCTTCGTATACACAATTATACATTCGATATACACATTATTTAAACCCAAAAAAAATTACCCTCCTCTTTTACCTCACCTCACTCCCCCACCGACCCACGCTTCTCACTCGCTCCCCCCCCCCCCCCCCCCCCTTCTCTTCTTCCCTTCAACGAATTCAACAAACAAGCTTCCACCTTCATCAACCTTCACAAACAAGCTTCCTCTTCGATGGATTTTTCGTACGACGACACGTTGGTGACTAACTTCGATGATTTTTGGGCTTTGTGGAATGAGAATCTCGGAGGTGGTGAAGTTGGGATGTCTTCCGAAGCTGGAGAAATACAAGGACAGACGGCCGGAGCTGGAGAAGGTGACGGGATGACGGACGGAGACGAAGATGGATCTGGTGATAAGGCTAGAGTTGGAGATGGTGTTGGACGCACTCTTGGAACCGGAGAAGATGACGATCAGACGGGCCTAACCGGAGTAGATGAAGGGTTGGGAGCAAGATCTCAATCCTCAGCCCTCTAGCAAGATTCTACTTCTAGTACTTCTGTGACAATTGTGTGTGTATATGAACTTAGGAGATTGAATTTGAAACAATAAACAAAATCATTTCACCACTTTTCCTTACATCAATAGCAGAGCTAGAAGATCTAATTTGACCAAACTCAAATCACAGTAGAAATGGTTGCACCTCTCTTGATGTAATCTATTTGAGCAGCCTTATAAACAGCAGGCAAACCTGGTATAGTAACCCATCACCTCATTGATTGGCAAATCAAACAGATCAGAGCTTGAATCATTGTGATAATCATTAGTGTGTAGCCCCTATCTTGTTTTGAACGCATGCATATGTTTGGTGACACATGCAAGTCATAGGAGATGTCACTTGTTTATGTGTGTGTTTGTTTGTGTATGTAGACAGCGGAAGATTTGTTTGTTTGTGTAGTATTTCAACTAGTCTGTGAAATATTTGAATTGTCTGTGTGCATATATCATTGTCTGTGTGATATCGTAAGTTGGTTAGAACACATTATTAAATGAAGCATGTAACATAACAGATGGAGAATGGCTGCCAAAAGAGAATGAAGTTGGAAAAGATCCGGAAGTTGGTATGGAGTTTGAAAGTAGAGAAGCAGTATATGATTTTTACAAAGCATATGGGAAGCGTTTGGGATTTCATACAAGAACTAGGAGCACAACTAAAGACAAAAGAGGAGAACACATTGTGTCAGTTCTACTAGAATGTTCGCGGGCTGGTCGGAGATGATATGTAAACACTTAATTGTGGTCATAATTCGGCTTGATATACAACTCTTGCCCGAGGTGTACCTAATGAAAAGATGGAGAAAAGACATGAAAAGAGCGTACGATCGAGTGAAAAATCAATTATGACGGGTGGATTCCAACGGTTGAACAACACCGCTTTGACAAGTTATGTAAGACCTTTGAGACTCTTGCCAACATGATAGCGGATGATGGGGCCAAATACAACGAAGTTCTCCTTTGGGTGGACACCCAATTGTCCACATATACTCCTCCGATTAACCATTCTTCTATTGGTGGCAACATGACACCACTTGAAGACCCAACCACAAGTATAGGTGGCGAGGTCCAAGATCCACCTATTGGAGATCCTAAATGTACGAAGCGCAAGGGAGCTCCCAGAAAAAACCGAGCAAAGGGTCCACTAGAAAAGGGGAAGAAGAAAGGAAGGGCTAAGAAGGATAATGCACCTAATATGCCAATTGTGTACTCTACTGGTTTAGATTTAAATCTATCTTTGATGTGAATTAATTGGTGTTAAATGTATATTTGGTGTTAAATGGTGTTAAACGGTGCAGCTACTGGTGTACAATTTTAATGTTTTTTGTTAGAGACAATATTTTGGCCTCACAATGACGTTCAATTCCAGGCAGAGTAAAGACTATGAACTCACACACACAATTTATTCACAAATCATATCACTTTCATAATTTAGTGAAATATAATTTAGTCACAGACATATGTATTACCTCGCCCACACCATATTATATACTCATAGACACAAGGGTTTACAAACAAAAAAAACAATATGATACATTCCATACCAAATTGTTACTTCGTTACACAAACCAGCATAGTAATGTTTTCTACAACCTTCATATATATCCTCCTGGGGAAGTACCTTGTAGGACATTGTACAACGTTGATCATAGCACAACAGTGTACATTATCATACATTCCATTCCAAAACGGTTACCAAAAACTAAACCAGCTAATTACAGCTACATAAAGTTTGATACATTAGCAAAAAATGGACATTGCATGTTTTCTAAGAAACTAGCTTCCTCAAACTCCAAAGGCGTGGCGCAAAGTGCCATCTCTTTCTAGCCACGTTCGCATACTCGCAACGTGGCGTCAAGGGAAGTCCCAACAACAAAGCCTCAGCATAACAAATGACCATCAGTCCGCAAACAGTTCTGCCACACAGACATAACAACGAATTAATAGGTATTCACAGACAATTTAGTACACTACACATAAACAAATTTGTAGGTGAACAGATTAACATTACCCTCCCTCCTGTTGTGGAACATCTACAGCTACCTCAGCATTCCAATGCTCTACCTTAGAAAGATCTGGGTGGCTTGTATGCATTGGAAGAGTAGCGGAAGTCTCACACACAAATGCACCGCATGCAACATTGACCTACTTGTTCTCATGTAGTCATATACATGTACCAATTTTGTATGTAGGTCAACTTCCGCTAAAACCCAATGCATCCCATCAACATTCAAAGGTGCAAAAACCTGAACAGAATAAATAAATAAAAAACTTATGCGCTATGTTTGTATACAAACAAAAAATAGTTAACACACAGACAATTGAATAACGACGGTAATCACTTACTTTTTCTAAACCTCTCCAGTCAACACTAGGTAGACACCTATGAGCAGTCCAGACATTCTCATCCTTAGAATCCTTATTCATGACTTGATGCTACGTAAATAAAAAGTTATAAAGCCAATGTGATCTTAAATAATTATGTAAGTTTGGTAGAGATAAACAACACATACCGCAAAGTAAGGACTTATTAGCTTATACGGCTTGTCCGACACACAATCTTTCAGAAGCAGGTAGGAAAGAGCATCCATATGCTAACAAAAAACAATGTCAGACATATAATTATACATGACAATATATGAAAATGAGAAGACACTCACATAGGACCATAAAGACTCATCTGGTTCCACGAGCTCACGAAAAAAGTCCCTGTCCACTTCATCAAATGATGGTAGATTAAGAACAACCGTCTTAGGTTCAACAGTGTCATCTTCTTCTATCCAAGCTTTGAGAGATGCAATATGATCATTAGTTGGGTAAAATATAGGAGGTTGAATGGAGACAATGGGCTCAACATATGGTGAGCAATGGTATTTGGAACGATATCGTTTTCTTTTTTTCATTTGTTAACTGCTCACAACTTGTACAGCCTCAACATCTATCGGCGCACTCCCAACATCATCTCCATCCCAATCCAAATTTTCAAATGGACCGGGGTTGTTAACGGGGGTAAGTTGTCCTATTCACAACAAATATAATACATAGTCATATGTTTGTACACACAGACAAACACTATTAATGGACACAAACGTTGAGACTCATACACAAACAATCACAAACAGAACAACACAAGTTTACCTCATTTACAGACATCATAAGATCTGGGAAGTTGCTTGCTACCTTATTCTGCTCAATTTCCCAATTCACCAATCCAATAATTAACAACTTCATTTCTAATTCTACAAAAATTACAACAAAGATAGATAAAAACTCATACCTCAGTCATTACAGTCGAGATGATTACATCTGCTCGTGTGCCATCTTCACCATTTAAGGGGTTGCTGAGTTCCCCTGCTTGTGCTGGACCTGCATCTGCCCGTGCATCATGATTAATTAAACTCTCATTTTCCAGCACAGTTTACGGGACCTCTTCTTGTACGTTCTTCTCACCGTCACCCGCAGCCGCATCATCATCGTTAACAACACTTGTCTTCAAAACATTTTCACCGGGAGCTACTTGTTCATCCCCAGTCGCATCCTTATCAACCTACAATGCGTATAGTTTAATGTGTTAGTCACGTAGATAATGAAAAACGCCAAAAATTTACACACACAGGTAAGTTTCATCATACCTCTCCTCAACCAATGGGTTCGGTTTGCCAATCAACTTCACAAGTAGTACCTTTATTTCTGAAAGACTTTCTTCAACTGAAGTGATTTTGTTTTCAACCCTTTCAACATACTTCCTTAGGTCCTGCAGCTCCTCCATTATTTTAACCTTTTCGAACAAGCCCAGGTCTTCCTCAGTCATTTCTTCTTCTTGGTTCTCTTGTTCCTCTCCCCACTCTGAATCAGAAAGCTTTTCCTCCTCCTTAAAAATCATTGAAGCTTTATTGTCAAATGATAAAAATACAAAACATTAACAAAATCAATGACACATTACCTCTGGAAATACTACTCGTCTAAGCTTAGAGTAATGAAATTTCCGTTCGGCCTTCCAATTGAGTAATGGCACATCATGATTACCCACTTTGTTTGTAAAGTTCTTCCCAACTCCATTAATTTCTTCATAAGCCCACACCTATAATAACCAAAGAATACATTTCTAGTTCGCACGATAAGAAATAAGTAATAGATATTGTTCTCCTATATATGAACAAAAAAATAAGCACAATAGCGAAGTTGTCATATATACCTGCAAAACTAGTGGAAAACTGTAGACAGATAGCTTTGCATTTCTATAGTTTGGATTCTTCTCCTTCCGGTCCTTGAACTTCTGAGGTTGACCATCCATCAGGCCCTTCATATGACTCACCAATAACTTGTACGAACGAAGTGACCACGGACACTTCTTGAATTCCTCTAAATCATTCACCAATCTGACAGAGGATGCATTTATCCTCGTAGTGTTGTCCTTAGCAAGCAACACACACTCAATATAGAACAAGGAGGCCAACTTTACAGCATGCAACTGATCACGACGTTTGGAAAGTTTGAGTTTCTCAAATATGTTCTTCAAATTGACGTGTGTAATGTCGACTGAGCCACCTAAATACTTCTTAGCAATGGCCCCTACTGGTTCAGCTTCATCGCTAGTTTCTTGTCCTGAAACATCACCTGCAGTAGCTACTGGTTCAGCACCCGCTGGTAATCCACTTATGCGGAAAAAACCCACATAAGTAAACTTATACAGTGTACCCCCAATGGCAATCCAGAGCTCCTCATCAGGTTGCTCCTGCACAAGGTGTAAGGCCACATGTGAAAGACTTGGCTAGAGAATTGTGTGGGTGGGATGTCAATAAGATGGTCCCATGGTAAAGCGCGAAAAATTTCCAATTCTGTTGCGGAGAGGTTACTTTGTACCCATTTGGCGGCATTTCTAAAGTTTGAACACACCGAATACTGGGCAGGGAAGTAGTCATGACTGGGAATGCATAACTTTAGGGCTCTGGCGGTTGGAAGAACAATAAATTATTAGGGAAGACAGACAAAAAGTATAGACCTATAAATTCATCACCACACAGATAATTTATAACACTCCAAAGGAACTTTACAGTAAATAAATAACACTCCAAAGGAACTTTACACCACCACACAGACAATTTATAAACATCAGCAAAGGAATTACACTATGTCATAGACATAATTTCATTCACATGCAATAAATAACATTCCAAATGAACTTTACACCACCACACAGACAACTTGCGCACATCAACAAAGGATTTACACTATATCATAGACAAAATTTGAAACATAAATGTTGATAAAGAGTCTCTCCGTCAGACACAAACACATGTTCGAAGATTGCAAAAAAACCCAACAAATTAAATAATAAACCTAAAAACAAACAAAGGTTGGAAAATGACACATACCTCTCCGTCATCTCTGCCAGTGGGGTTCGCACCATTGGTGTGCGTCGTCGTCCTCAGTCAACAGCGAGGAGGCTGTTTCTTCACACCTGGAATCAATCGTGAAGAAGAGAGTGTAAGTGGGGGTGCCGGTTTCGTGGGGATGTGGGAGAGAAGGAAGGGGGGCAGCCGTTTGATTTTCGAGTAAGGTCGCCGCACGTTTGATTTTCGAGGAGGAGGAAGTTTGCTTAGGCTCGTTGAAAGGAAGAAGAGAAAGAACCCGGAGTTTTGATTTTCGAGGAGTGGGGGAGCGAGTGAGAAGCGTGGGTCGGTGGGGGAGTGAGGTGAGGGAAAAGAGGGGGTAATTTTTTTTGGGTTTAAATAATGTGTATATGGAGTGTATAATTGTGTGTACAAAGAACAATTTTGATTTAAAAAACACGTTTGTGGATTACTTTCATTTTGCTCATTATTTCAGCTCTATTTTGTACTCCATTTCTATTACAAACAAGTGTTTGCAAAAAATTAAAAAAAAAATAAGCTTTTGGCTTAAAATAGTTGAAATAAGTGTTTTCAAGTGATAGTTTCTATTTAAGTTAAACACTTAAAAGCTAAAGGTTGAAAGCAGGTGGAGCCGTGGAGAGGTGCTTTAAAATGTTTTTCATTTTTTATTGCACAAAAAACACAAATTTTACCAAACATTATCAATTTTTCCTAAATATGAGAGCCAATTAACTTAGATTTTTGTGGTTAATTTGGTGAAATGGTAGATAACCGTGGTGTTCTATATAAAGGACTCGGTTCTATATGGTTTGGTCATTTTCCATTACTAGTGGACCTGCACAAAAACGGACTCGGTTCGGACGTTTTTAAAATTTTTGGACGGGCCCGACTCGGAAAAAACGAGCTTAACCACATATCCATACTCTAAGAAGAGACTGAATAGTTAAGGCCCATAATTATTGCGAAAAAATTGAACCTTAGCCCAGCCTACTAACAAACTACATTTGACGGCAAATGATTGGGGCGGATTTGGGGGCATTGATAGCAGTGGCCAGCAGAGACGCCGGAGAAGGTAAAAAGTAAAACGGGCAAGTGATAATAATTACAATTGCCGGTGCCGGGTTCAGGCGGCGGCACGCATGCACCGCACTACACTCCTATCAAGCTATGGGAGATGGCAAATCTTTTCTTGGAAATAAGTATTGGGTGCTCAGACATGGCAGAAGCATTCCGAATGAATCGGGACTCATTGTTTCGTCAATGGTGAATTACATTCTCTCTATCTATAATTGTTATGTCTATGATAATCTCTCCGTTAGCCTCCATCGACACTGATTGATTAATTGATTGATCATTGATGCATGGCTGCTCGGGCGTATCTGTTTGAATTAGGAAAATGGCATCCTCGAAGAGTATGGATTAGCACCCACCGGTGTTGAACAAGCTCTATCAGCCGGGGACTCATTCCGTGAGGTGATTATTACTCCAAATTTAATGATCAATCGATTATAATTTATAAAACACCACCTATATTGATAATCATAAATTATACGGAGTACATAGTAGTTTAGGACCAACTTGTTTTACCCGAAGTAAGATTTATTATACCCTAAACATACTACGTATTTAACAATTAATAATTTTGAAAAAACCATTCGTTCACCTTGTAATGCATTGAGGGAGTAAATACTAATTGGATAACTTGTGTTAGTGTGAAGAAAAAAATATCTAAAGAGCATGTAAATGGTTCACACAAACAACTGTTGTTGTATATGAAAGTATGAAACATACTAATTTGTGCCTTGTGAAATACATTTATCCGAAAACTTATAAATTGTTAACAGACTCTAACATTGATTTGTGTGCTGATCTGGGTGCTTTGGCACGAAACCAATACTTCGTATATTGTAACCCATATTAGTTGTCTGTTTCAAGGCATTAATTTAGTACACCAAGCATAATTGTTAATATTTAGGATTTGTATGGAGTCTACGGAAATTTGGATTCTTAAGGATTTTAAAGAAATTTAGAACTCCATCGAAATTTGAGTGTCCTCAATTAGGATTTGTATGGAGTCTACGGAAATTTGGGTATCCTCAAACTGTCCATGGATTCATTAACTCTTGGATTGTTAAGGATTTACGTGGATTTCATACCTAAAATACAAAGGTAGAATATCGCTGAAAATCTCTCGTGCATCCTTCGGATTTGAATGGATTTCCCATCCAAAAGCAAAACAAAGCTAGCAGAGCTCGGCTAGTCTGCCGTTCTTCGATCCGTCCAGAAGCAAAACAAAGCCAGCAGCTTCGGCAAGCATAACTCTCTGTCCGCCACCTGGATCCACCTTCGACGTTTCTGTCTCAAATCAAGCCCTCTCTTATAGATCTTCTCCTATCTTTTAATTAATTTCTGTTCATGCGTGGGTAAATCCAACTAAAATTTCAATTCCCTAAACAATTAAAAACAAACAATGGTATGTGGCTGAGCTCTAGGATGGAGAAGCTGGACTGGGGCTTAGTGGTGGCAAGAATCTGATGCGGGTGGAAGGTTGATGCTGAGAATTGGAGGTGGATTTCAAATTCCATGGAATTTGATTAGAATCTTATGTATTCTATACAATTCCATATAAATCCATCAAAATTTTAATCCTTTAAAATCTTATGAATTCCTAATTGAGGACACCCCCTTAGGGTTGATTTTGACTAGTTTAAGAAGAGCAGTGGCAATCCTATCAGAGATTTCTCTTATAGTTTAGATTAGATGGTTGTTGAAAATCAATATTTTCTCGACTGATTGATTGGTCGTTGTCGATAAAAAATGATATCTGACCTGGAAGGAAGGAAGGACATGTCCTACGGCAGTTCGTTTTTTATTTAGTTTAGTCATTCAGTTTTATTAAATGCAAATCTGAGGACCAAATTGAGTTACTTAAGTCGGTTTTAATTGGGTTAGCATGAGGTTCAGCTTGTTTTGACGTCTCGGTTGATTATGAAAGGATAAACCTTAAATGGTAAACCGAATCACATATGATTTGGCCGTTTTTTGTCGTCACTGCCTCAGTTTGTCTGTTTTTTATTCATCCATAGCTTATCCCATCATTTCATTTCTTACACTCTTCCAGGAGTTGAAGGAAAATAACATTGAGCTTGAGAAGGTCCGAATCTGCTACTCCCCATTCTCAAGGACCAGACACACTGCACAGCATGTTGCCTCTCGACTTGGAATTCCTTTTTTTGAGGAAGGACCTCCAGCACCTCAGTGCATGGCATGTTCCTATTTTCTTTCTTTTCTAATTGGTCATCTATCTATCCATCAAAGACCCCGTTTGTATTTGCTTGTCCATCCGTAAGAATGTTTCCCTTGCTAACAGGTTATAAATGATCTCCGTGAGCGCTTCTTTGGTCCCACTTTTGAGCTTCAGTCACATGATAAGGCAAGACCGAAATTCATTGCTTGTTTAAGCTTGTTCCTATGCTGCATTCTGTTTATCATCTATCTATATTCTGTCTCATAATTAGTGGTTGGGATGCATTTTCTTGTTTGTTTGTTTTTAATAGTACCAAGAGATTTGGGCACTAGACGAGGAGGACCCTTTCATGCGGCCTGATGCGCGTGGAGAAAGTGTTGCAGATGTTGTTTCCAGGCTTACAAATGCAATCACCACCATTGAGTCAAGTTTTCAAGGGTAATAACACCCCCTTGAGCCAGTGGTAATATTGGAGTAGCTTAAAATCTACATGATGAATTCATCGAAATGATGGTTGAACATGCAGTCATGAAATACCTGTAATTAAAGAAAGAAAACAGTATGAAAAATAGTGGTTAAAATGTCCCTTTTCAGGAAATTCTGCCAGAAAATTACCTCCAACTTTGATTTTTTTTATGTTTGTCCAATTTAGAGTGTGAGATCAATAAATTAGTGTTTGTAAATAAATCTGGCTGATAAGCAAGAAAACATGGCTGATAAATGTGCTCGTAGTAACATCCTATGCCTTCATTTTTTCTAGGTGTGCAGTGTTGATTGTGAGCCATGGGGATCCCCTTCAAATTCTGCAGACAGTTCTTCAGGCGACGCTTCAAGGAGAGAATCCTGCTACGGATGACTGCAATCAAAATTTGGCTTCAAGGATAGCAGCCGTAACAGTCTCACCTGTTCTCTCCCAGCACAGGAAGTTTTGTCTTGGCACTGGAGAATTGCGTGCACTTCCATAAGTTATTTACCCTTTCATTACAATAATGTATTGTCTATTTAAATTCAAACCACGTTAAAATGATCAGAACCCAATGTGCTCACTTACCACACAAGATATCCGACGCACTCTTCCATGCAGGAGGTCTCGGGTTCGAAACTCTATAGAGGAGTTTCAGCCATGTTTACTCCAGACTCCTAGGGATGGACTAAACCGGGCCGGCTCGGAACCGACCCGGCCCGGCCCGCTACTGTGCGGGCCCGGACTTGACCGGGACCGGTTGGCCGGTTCCGGGCTTTTAGCCCGTTTGGGTGGGTCGGGCGGGCAGGGGTCGGGCCCAATTTTGCCCGAACCAGGTCGGGCGGTTCGGGCCGGGCCCAGGTCAATTTTTTTTTGTTTTTTCATTTTTTTTTCTTTTCCTAGGGTAGGGCTGGGTGTTTTGGGGAGGTTTGGGGGTGGGGTCGGGGGATAACAAGAAAGCAAAAAAAAAAAAAAGACATTGAACCGGGTCCGGCCCGGTTAGGCCCAAACCCGGTATCAACCCAGGCCGGCTCCGAGCCCAAGGATTTGCAAAAAAAAGCCCACCCGGGCCTGACCCGGAACCGGACCGCACCAAGTCCATCACTACAGACTCCTCCAAAACCTTTTTATACGAAGTATATTACTCCTATTTTGAAATAAATTGTACATTTCTATTTGGAGTATTCCAAAATAAATTCTTTTCAAGAATTTTTTCTGGACTTTACCCTAACCTTTCTAGAAAAGTTTACTTATAGGTTCCTAAGATTCTAAACTACTCCGTAATAAATAAGAAGCTTATTGTGATACAAGAAGTCATCAAGCAGTAACGTTACAATAACAACAATAAGAAACTTATAAGTTATATCAATACAATAAAGATTTAGTCCTGAGCAAAGCTCTCTCTTTCAGTAGAGTAAAGTCATAAAAAAAAACTAAAGTGAACCCAAACGTTAGCAGAAAATTGGTGTGACTGTCAGAAAGGTGTTAGTGTCAACTGTACTCTGAGCGGTATTCATCAAGCAACCTGAAAATCAATGCATATCAAACACCTTATATCATCACAACTTCAATAAGAATACCAAAATATCTTTGCAAGAAAAATGAGCTGACATACCCAAATGGAATAGAACTCTTAACTTCATTGATGAAACAAGTGACTGCTGAAAAGCCTGAAATTAGGGTGCGAACTTATGACCCTGTAAGCACTCCAAAAAAAAATGTCATTAATTGTCGATTCTGATAAAACCAGACAAAACAAAATAATAATAATAATCACTAACCCTCAAACTACTCATGTCACAGTGCAGAAACCACCAAGGACCTTCCTTTGACAAAATCCTGAAAAGCACCAAAGGAACCCATGCTTGAGAATATAAGCCCACTATCAAAAACCCATATCGTTTCCGTCAACAAATGCATCCAAACATAAATCAGTTACCTTATAAAACCAGTCATCATTCGCAATGCCATGAAGAGGGTCAGGCCCAACCAAACACCTGGAAGGCCAAATACTCTTGGAGCGTAGAGCAAAAATGAAGATGACAATCCACCCACTACCATCTGTAATATATCCCAAAAAAAACATTATGTTATCATTATGGCATAACAATAGTACTTGCCATACCTGATAGGCTAATAATATTACAGAATATGGCAAAAGGAAAAAATTACCATAGAACGAGCCGCATATGCAAAATCTGAAATGCCATAATGGAGACCATCAAAAATAAAAGCCAGCGCATTAATTGGTTGACTGGCACTCACAAACTGCAGTCATTTTACATCAGAGACACAAAATGCATCCACGTATATATAATGAATGAGTGCATCATCAAATCATATCACTAGAAGCCAAAAGGTTGCATGCATACCAATATACCAGTCTTGACTATCCCTAGCACTTCCATGTCCTGAGTAAATAATGGCGCCAATGAAGGAAAAGAAACACCCAGTATAGCCGCTAAAAGGACACCAGTTACCACTCCAATCTGATAAAATGCGAGTTCAAAATGAAGAACACAGATAATATTACTTGGACATAATAAACATAATACGGTAGTATTACTTAGTAAAAGAATCTTGCAACAGCAACCAAGTACCAAGTGTAGGACAAACCTTCAAAACAAAGTTCGTGATTTCCCTAACAATCCTATATTCACCTTTTGATGAATAGCTGGCGATAAGGGCCTGGATAAAAATATAAAAAAAAATAAAGGAATGTGAAATCGCAGTTGGAATAAGAAGAGAACAAACACTGTGAAATGCTTGTGTTTTGACCTGTGCAGATGCAGCAAGTGCGTCAGTGAGCAGGGAGACGGCCAGCCAAACTTGTAAGCATATTTGGTGGGCAGCCATTGCTACAGGACCTTGGCGAGCAGCCATTGATGTGCCAAGGGTCATCGTGAAAAGAACCGAAAGTGTCCTCCCAATAAGAAAACCACCTAAACAGCCCCGATATAGAATATGAACCTCAGATAAGTAATTATCTGATCAGTAAGCAAAGGATTCAGTATTCCATAGATTTTGCCTATGCATATTGACGTACCAGATTTAAGATAACCACCAAACTGTAATCCTCCCAGTTTTGGAGGCAACAACACAGCTCTCTTATTTAAACACCAAAGCATCGAAAAAGTTACCAAGTATCTAGAAAGTGAACATTAATAAAAGAAGACCAAAATAAACAAGATGATGCATAAAGTAAAATTGCATAAGACAAAGACGGGTTAATGAAATGGTTGACATACTGCGATAAAACAATGGACATGGCTGCTCCAGATACACCCAGACGGAAGTAAAACATAAGTATTGGAAACAGAAATACACCTATAACATTTCCAATAGCTGCAGATGCAAGATAGTTCACAAGTTAGGGTGTTGGATATCAAGGGAAGAGCAAAATGATAAATGTTGCAATTAACATCTGATTGCGTGAACCATTTGATATTGCAAGAGGCAGCAGCTAGCGAACAGCTATTATTGCAAGACATCACACAAATAAACAGTTAAACATCCAGACATCGCGAGACTTGCCTAAAGAGAAGACAGGAGTCTTTGTATCTTTGAAACCACGAAAAATGCCTTGAAGAGCCAAAGATACTACGAATGCTGGAGCACCAAGAGCTCTCAAAACCAAATATCTTTGTGCTGGAGCTCGCATGGGTGAACTCTGTTATCAAAGTAACTTCTTTAGTAAGAAAGCACTATTTGAAAACAAGGAACAGCCCTGCAATAGCACCTATATGAATAAAGATCAATGTAGAAAGTATTACCTTGACTCAACACCAATCTCATTTAGACATAATAGCCCTCATTAACAGAAGAATACATCAAAATTATTCTCCATGTTTCAAAAGGGATATTTTCTCTACACTATTCTGTTTTTTTACCTATTTTCTTTTGCTCATGCAATAACTTTTCCTGGTACAGAGTAGAACCATTGAAGTAATCATTGCATGAAGCAAAAATAAATTATTTACGGGTCCCTTATGCAATTAGACATTACTACAGTTTGAAGACTACACATAATCATTGTAAATGCATTCATATTTCATAAAACAAAAGAAGACATTATTTAATTTTGAAATAAGCGTACATGTGATATTCCCATTAAACTCAGAAGTGGACCAGATCCCATGGATAAAGCTAAAGCTTCAATGATGCCAATGCCAACTGCCAAAAGTAATGCTGTGGAAACAGAAGAAAGCTGAAGCCGCTCTGTTTTTCCATTGAAATGTGTACTCTTGGTACCTTCATCCCCTTCTGTATAAAAGATATCAAAGAAAAAACAAACATTTAAAGTTGAGAATACTACCATTATATCATGAGTCGGCTCCCACAAAATTAAAGGATTACTTTGGAGCCACTTTTTTCACCATTCAGGAAGATTATCTGTATTCTTATTAATCAAATATGAATTTAATTACCATTATATTTATTTTACAATTGATAATGCATATTTTTTGTTAGTGAAAAGAAGTTAAAATGCCAATGCACTTTACTACAGGTGTGTAGTTCCACTTCTCTGCCCAATTCATAATATTAATTCTAATAGAATAACAAAAATTTAATACCAAGTTTCCAGTCAACATATCAAACCAGGTATTACATAAAATCCATACAAAACAAACTAATGCCATTTTGTTCATTTGTGCACAGGTGCATCACACATTCAAATGGGGACTATTCTAGGTTATTTATTTGACTCATGCACAATTCTGACATAGAAAATTTTATGTTCAATTGAAAAATGTCAAATGTATGGCTGTTTAAATGGTAACAAAAGTACAAATGTTTACATCACCTGATGGGGAAAATCCAGTTTCACTCTTTGCAATATCTTCAGCCACAAACGAGGTTGCAACACTGAGTAGGGGAATGTTAAATAGTTTTGAAATGACATTAAAAAGTGATATAGAAACACCAGCAGAAGCCAACTCCACAGAGCCTATATAAGCACAAAGAACAAACTCTAATAATTAATTGAACAAAGAGAGAATGATAAAAATAAGAAAAAACATGGTTAAGAAATAACATGGGGAAAGTTTAATGCCATTTGGGCTCAACAGTTGAAATAAGAAAAAACATGGTTATTTCCCAAAGGATAGTGAATGTCATTCAACTTAAAATAATGAAAAGAAAATTATATAGAATAAAAATCAGCAAAAGGGTACTCTGCACAGATAAGTTGTATACATAAAATGGGAAATCAGATAAGCTCTACTGTAATTAATACTCCGTACATTATTATATAGACATATACATACACATAGTGGTAAAGTTGTGAATAATAAACAAGCAATTTCACACTAAAGCATCAACTTTACCCAAGCGGCCAATATATGCAGTCTCCATCAACTGTGCCAGAGGATCAATGGCCTGACCAGCAAGTGCTGGCAAAGAGAGCGAAATTAGTTCACGTTTTATGTCCCGCGAGTGACTTGAAGCAGCAGTAGAGTCTGCCAATTGATTTCCAATTCCATTGGTTTCAGAAGAAATAGTGTTACTTAACTCACTGAGTCAATTCAGAAAAGAATGAGGAAATCAAACTACTGGGATTTTACTCACAACCAGCTAAGAGGGGCAAGAGAATAAATAAGTAAATAAATAAAAACAGAATTAAAATATCTTACAAGGCCTCCTCTCCGCTAGAACCTCCAGAGATGATATTATCTCCCAAGGCAGAAGTCAAGAAAAACTGCTTCCTTGGGTGGGTGTATAAAAGTCTCTTTTGATTGCTTATTGACAAAGGATAATTCTTACTGCAAGCATCTAAACATCTCAATCCACTGCTACCATCTCTTCTTAAAACAAGAATTGAACGTGCCAGGCGGGGCATAGACGGTCTTTCCCTTGTATATTCCCGTTGCAAAATGTCATTTCGTGAACTCAAGCCCTTCGTGCTACCACTCAACAGAGGCAGAGCCATGGTTGTCTTGGAATCCTGAATACAAAATTCAATTCGGTTTTGCTGAAATAAAACCAGAAAACATGGTATCAGAAATTGTCATAATCATGACACATGGATATCGTGTAGAATAGTACTCACGGCTCGTTGGCTTCGTATATAAGCAGTCTGATGGTGACTGGTGAGGTGGTGGAGTTCTGGGAGTAGCTATGGAACCAGGGAAGACTGGCAGTGAGTGACAACGGCGACGGCGCGAGAAAAAGGTCGGAACTTTCTAGAAATTGGCGCAAACTAACCTTATATCGCACAGCTTGAACGGGTTGCAGGGGGGAACCGAGCAAGACAGCTGCTTGGACGATAAGTGAATAAAATCAGAGGCGGCAAAGCCAAAATTTGCTGATGACACGGGCCTAAGGGGAAATAACCGAAATGGAGGCTCCTTTCATTAGTAAGGAAGGATTTAGAGCTGTAAGCTCTTTGATGAGTGTACACAAAACATGCTTGTTTCCATAATTTTATTCTCGTTAGCCAAATTTTTGCCTTAGCAGATTGGGAAAGGAGAATTTAGAGTTGTGAGTTGTTTGACGATTTTATTAAAGATGTAACTTTTAAGTTCACGCGCTGAATTATATAATAATCAAATATGGTTGGAGTTACTTTTCTAGTTAGAAGTTATTGTATATGATCATGTTAACTATTTTTCTTATAATTTTTTATTTATTTTAATAATAAAATATAGGGAAAATGGTCAGATAAGCCCTCGAACTTACATAAAAAGGTCAAATAAGCCCTTATATATGAGGCTCTGTCTGACCGTCGCCATTTGGGGCGGTTTCTAGTGGAATTTTTTGATGAAAGTTTTTGAGTATCTTATTCATTAAGTCTAGTTTACTCATACCAAATTTCAGGTAAAACTTCAATCGAGAAGGCATTCAAATGAATTCTTGAAGATAACTGTGCAGTTAAAAGCGCGGTTATCTTCAAGAATTCATTGGAACGTCTTTCCTATTGAATTGGTAGCTGAAATTTGGTATAAATAAACTAAATTTAATGAATAAAATGCTCAAAAAAATTCATCAAAAAATCCACCGGGAACTGGCCCAAATGGCGCCGACTGGACATAGCTTACTATGTAAGTGCTTATTTAACCTTTTTATACAAGTTCGATGGCCTATTTGACCTTTTTCCCTAAAATATATTTTAAATATATTTATTCATAAATCAGTAAAAATCAACCAATTCATCCACGTCAGGCAGAGTTTCATAAATTTCAGCAGAATCAACTACTTCCAGTGCTGCCAAACGGACTCTTATATTCCGTGTTAAATTAGATTTAGACAAAATAGAATAGTTCAAATGATGATAGAAATAAAATTACCACACGGGCGCGCACACAATAAGAATCTCTAGATACATATAATGTGTCAATTAAGATCTTATGCCGTTACTAAATAATACACCCACACACGCACATATATGTGTGTATGTGTAATTTAATGAGTCTATGATGTATTCAGGAAAAAAAAAGAACTAGTTTTAATTATTTGGAAATATATTTGTTATTTCTTTACTTATATCATAATGATAATCATAGGACAAATTTACATAACTATTTGTTGGCATCTGTCATACTCTTATAGTTAGGACCATCATTTTCACATAACTATTTTACATCTCTAATGTTAGGAAATACTCCCTCCGTATCAAATTAATTGACCCACTAGACTTTTGTAGTAGTTTAAGAAAAATTGTAGGTGTACTGTAGATAAAGTAAGAAGAAAGTAAGAAACATTGTAGATGATTAAAAGTTGAGGAATACTTTACAAAAGGAGTATAAACAACCGGACCCCATATACATTAAGCACTGTAGCAAAGCGTAAAGGCCAGATTAGACTCATACAGATCCATGCAAAGGAGCGATGAATTGGTAGCTCAGAAATAAGGTGGCAGACAACAGATTAGGAATGGAGAGGAGGATTGTGAGGAGGGGTTGGGCGGTCGAGATAAACCAAATGGACAACCGAAGAGGCAATAACCCAGACTAACGGAGAGATAGAGAGAAATCAGAGAAACCGGAGAAACAGAGAGAAGATTTGAACAAGAGAGAGAGGGAGAGACGGATACTTCGAGAAATGGGGGGGTGATAATGGCCGATTTAATGGGGAAGGTGGGGCAGATAGGGATTTATGGTTGGGTGGGATGGGGATTTAATGGGGAGAAATAATGGGATAAGTGGAGAAAAAAATGTAAAATGTAAAAATGAAATGATGAGAAGTTAAAAGGTGGTGGGGTCCATGTCTAAAAATAGAAATGGGACTTTTAATTTGATACGTTGGGAAAAGGAAAACGGGTCAGTTAATTTGATACGGAGGGAGTACGTTTTCTATTACTTCATACCATTTAGTTAAGTATGGTCTTTGTTTCATTCGTTTGTGAAAAAGCAACTCTTTGATGACACATCACATGGTGCTTGGTAGGAGTGGGCACGGTTGGTTAACCGCATTTTGGTTAACAAATTTTCGGTTAACCGTGATATTGGTTACGCAATTTTATATATCGTTACCCGTACCATAACATTGGTTAACCGGATACCGGTTAACCAATATTTCGGTTAACCAATAACGGTTAACCAATAAACCGAAAGAGAAAGATAAAATTGCCAATATTTTTGTTGTTTTAAACTTTGTACATACGGAGCACAATTTTTTAAACGTAGAGCTAGCCAGCTAGGCAACTAGTTTTTTTTACAGATAGCTATATAATAATACAGTAATACATAGTTTTTTTTGACATATTGCTTTTTTTTAAGTAGAGCTTCCCAGCTAGGCATAATAATAATACGTAGTAATAATAATACGGAGTAACTATACAGAGCAACACTATATGTACGTATTATAATATATTCCACATGATTGTTTGGGAGGGAACTGGAAGCATGGGCACAATTTTCATGGGAAGCACGTCGCAGCTCGGCGCAAATGTTACAAAACATGTACATGTTGGTTAACCGGTATTAACATAATCTTAACCATAACCGTACCATTACCGTTTTTTCTTTGCGGTTGGTTAACCGTACCGTAAGCTTTTAAACAATCCGGTACGGTTAACCGGAAAATACATCGGTTTTTCGGTTTTTTGGTTTGGTTAGTCGGTTACGGTATTTGGTGCCCACCCCTAGTGCTTGGTGCATCAGTGCATGAACTTTTCACATTTCAACTATCAGATAGGGTCAGTGATTCAAAGGTTCAAAATTTAATGTGCTTCAAAGTAGAATTTTCTGTAATTTTGGATATTTGATAGTACAGCATTAATGCTTATTTCTATTAAATTTAATTGTGATACGTGTATTTGGATATTGTAGTTGTTCAGAATCACAATCATGTTAATATTTAAACCGAAACCAAATACCAGTACTATACTTTACATTGAGACAGAAACTTCTTTTGAGATTGGTGTATCACAACAAACGATTCCATAAAGATCTACCTATACTCCCTCCGTCTCGTTGAACTTTACAAACTTCCTTTTTTTGTTGTCCCAAAAAACTTTGTCACTTTCCTATTAAAGCAACTAATATGTGGTTCTGCACATTTCTTTCTCTTGTGCACAAATCTCAACCACACAATTTTTATTTTTTTTATTTCTCACATACTTTCCACTTGGCAAAGTCCACCGAAACGGAGAGAATATTATTTATCGGAGTATATGCTCATATGAGTAGCAATGGGACAGGTGAGGTCGGGCTGGACTAATTGACCATGTGAACATCATTTCACACTACCCCTTCAACTTTTTAAGTCCCGTGCAATTGCTGAAAAGAGGTTGGCCCTTTCCGTGTATCCATTTTTACTCCAACCATTTTTTATGTACACACTCTTGTACACACTTTATACATACCATACCATGTTTGTGAAGTTTTTTTTGTATGTGAATCCGGTTCACAGACAATATTTTGTTTGTGCAAAACATTGTCTGTGAATCAATGTTGACAGACAAAAAAAAGCTTTCACAGACATAGGTGTATACAAAAGTGTGTATAAGAGTGTGTACAAACATCATTTTTGTTTTTACTCATCTAAAATTCTGTGAAGAGTAGGAACTGAGTCAACGTGGATATAGAGTCGTATACTCTCTCCGTCCTAAAAAGGTTTGACAAATTTACTTTTTTTTGTTAATGACAAACAATTTTGACCAATGTTATATTTTAATACGAAATTATTTAGAATATGGTAATTATCTCAAAATACTCCTTATTGAAAATATTTTCATAAAAGTATAAAATTTATAAATTATGTACAAATATACTACGTAATAACTAAAATTATTGCTCAAATTTTGTCATCATTGTCCAAGAAAAGTCAATTTGACAAACCTTTTTGGAACGGAAGTAGTAGGTTTTTCATGTATGTGACCACGATGGTCACTCGAAGAATAGCACTTAAGATTTTGTTTAATTGTGACCTTTGTTTGTTTCATTTTTATATATATATATAAACACATCTCTTTAGTTTCACACTAAGGGGTGTTTGGAACTGATTCTGCTTCTGCTTATTTTTTTAAGCAGAATCAGAATCAGTTTTCAGAAGCTGGTATCCTCCAGCTTCTAAAAAAACTGATTCTAGGAGTAAATTAGAGCACCAGAATCACTTCTGCATTTTCACCCAAACACTCCAACTTCTGCTTCTGCTCCTTGAAGGAGCAGAAGCAATTTTAAGAATCAGATCCAAACACCCCACCCCTAAATGGTGTATGAACTTATGATATATCGTATTATGAAATATCTAAGGAATAAACAGATTGAAAAGGATCCAATTTATCATATCATGCTTCAAATGATTTTTATTTCATTAATTATATTTATTGTGTTTCGTCATAAAACATTATATTGGTATTTTGTTTTAGTGAGTGCCACTGAAAGAATGTTGCAGTAGTTCATTGTGTTAATGAGATACCGAGCAGAAAGAATTACTACCTCCATCCCGCCGGAAGGTTTCTCATAGCAAAACAACACGATTATTTAAATAATAATTAAATAAAATATTTCGAGTATATTTTGAGAAATAATTTTAATAGGTATATATTATAATGTAGTTAGTATTGATAAACGTGATGTTACAAATGTATTATTTTTAATATTTAATGATTATTTGTCACTTAAGATTGTTAATTGTTTCCTAAAATGGAAATCGGAACATTTGTATGGAACGTCCAAAAAAGGAAAATGTGAACCTTCTAATGAGACGGAGGGAGTACTTTACTTGGGAGAAAGGGTTTTTTGTCATTCACATATTGCAACAATCGATTCCAAAATGATTTTTTATCTCTATCGTAATATACGTACTTCTCATTGAGTCATTGTTATACTTCAAATGTGTCCGTATATGAGTTTCAAGCACCTTATAATTCGATTGTATCACTTTAACACTTCCAGAAAGGAAGTTACTCCGTACAAAGTAGAAATAATATCATGTTGACAGTTACCATAGAACAAGTATTAAAATATGTTAGGGAACACAATGAAAAAATGTGCCTACTAGAAGTGACACCGACATTAAATGAGATACCAATTGAATAAATCTTCATCAATCTAACATACTCAGTAATCTAAACTTATTTGAACCAACGTCTTGCATGCTAGAGTTAACAAAGTTGACTTGTTCAATGAGTAATGTGAGTCATGATGTGTACATGATACTTTAATCCTTCTAAAACCCTCTTACAAACTTTAATCCTTTTCATTTTATTTGAGTAATGAACCCCCAATTCCATCTTTTTAAACAATAGACGTTTAATTTTTACTTGAATACAACTTGCCCATATATGTACACCTCAGTGGCGGAACTAGAGAAAAAATTAAGCAGGGGCACAATCACATAATGTAAATCTATCACATTAATAATAAAATTGTTTTAACAAATTACACTAATAAAACATACCAAATTTAATCAAAAGGGTTAACGTAATGGTGATAAATTCAACCTACGAGTCCATTCCCATTTTGTATACCATTCCCTTTGAAATGACCTAGATTTGTTTCCAAACATAGATCGTGGGAAATCATGTAAATGTGGTTGACAAACACCTTTTACAATATATTCTCTTCTTATGGCATCCCTAATTGACGGTTCATAATCATTAATTGATTTTCTTAGACCCGGATCGTCAAATACTTCATTCTCAAGCTCATTATCTAATCTAGGTCTTTTTTCTCTCCGATCGTTACCTGTCACCGCATTTCCATCAATAATAGATTGTGTAATCCTACTCTCGCTCTCGCTACCAATCCTACCATCCTTGTCTAGAGGTGTGGCTCGTACAGAAACATTTGAAGAACTAGCATCGAAACTTATTGGCGTTTTTTCGGGGAAAATACTTCTCAATTGACATCCCCTAATGACAAATATCGAAACAACAAATAATTAATTCAAGTCAAACTATTAATCTAGTATAAATACTTCATTAATACAAACAATACATTAACACAAAAAATTACAATAACACATAATCGTTATATTTAATTCAATCTATTTTACACAATAACACTACATATTTTTCAAATCATAACTATGAATTTAAAGAATCAATAGTGAAATACCAAATTTTATTTAATTTAAAAGTGAAAAAACAGGAAATTGGAACATACCAAATAGTGAAATCGGCAACTGGCGGCTGGACGACGGGTGGAGTGGCAACTGGCGTGAGTAGCGTCGGCGTTGCCTGTGACCGGTGGGGCCGGTGGCTGGAGACCTGGTCTGCTGACTGCTGCAATGCCGCTTGCGCTTCACTTATGCGCTAAAGGCCTCAGCCCTCAATCGCTGTAGTGGATTGCGGGAAACAAGGAAAGGGTTTTGGTTTGGACTGGGCTGCAGGCTTGGCCCTAATTTTTTTCCCCAACCCTCAACAAAACGACGTCGTTTTGTTAAATGAAAAAAGCCTCCTTCTTCCTCAATCTCCTGCGGCGACGAACGGCTCCGGCTTCCTCAACCCCTTGCTCGCCGGAAAAGTTCAACGGAGATCTCCGACGGCCCCATACCCCTATATATATACCCTGGCTCGGCGGGCAAAGCAGGGGCACCAACCCCCTTGCCCCCGGCAGTTGCGCCCTGTATGTACTGCTCTTATAATTTTTAAAATTACATTAATTACATACACTATTGACCTTATATAGTAAAAGATCATATTGATATCATCAAAAAAACTAAACTTCTATCTCAAATCAAAACATATGGATATAAGACTTCTCATAACAAATTCTTCTATGTGAAATAGTTTTTCTATATTGCATTATTGCATAAGTTTTAATTTTTTCATTAGTCCATCATAGCTATATATACTTGTCCCAATAACAAAGTGGGGGACAGTTTCCTCCCATGCATAAGGTATCTTCTGTTTGTGTGCTCTGACTCCACATACCCAATATCATCTTTGCTGACTTGGCCAAAGTCAACAACTTGTTAGTTTTTTTTTATATAATGCAAAGAGAAATATTAAAACTGACCCACCCAACAAGTTGCTAAGTTTATTGATAAGAAAAGAAAACTGAGGATGGCTTCTTCTCTTCCTCTTCTTGTTTGGGTAGTAATAGTCAGTACTACCATTCCCTCTTTATTATCCCCATTCTTAACATTACCGGCGGCAGAAGCTCAGGCGTTCAAGTGCAGCCGGCGGGGCGCAACCTGCGACGCCATTGTAGACTACATCTCCCCCAACGCCACCACTCTATCCGCCGTCAAATCCCTGTTCAACATAAAAAATCTCCGATCCATCCTGGGTGCCAACAGCCTCCCTCTCACCACTCCGGCCAGCAAAACCCTCCCGGCGAACCAGACACTGAAGATTCCGTTCACGTGCTCGTGCGCCAACGGCACCGGCAGGTCCAGCAATCGCCGCCCCAGCTACACGGTGGCCCCCGGGGACGGCCTGTACCATATCGCGGCGGAGGTGTTCGGGAACCTGGTGACCTTCGGGGAAATCCAGACGGCGAATAACATACCGAATTCGAACCTGATAGTTCCGGGTCAGAAATTGTGGATCCCGCTGCCGTGCAGCTGCGATGACGTGGAGGGGCAGAAGGTGGTTCACTACGGCCACGTGGTGGCGGCCGGAAGTTCCGTGGAGGCGATTGCCGGGCAGTACAACGTCTCGCAGGATGCTCTGCTGAAGCTGAATGGGTTAAGCAGCCCTAAGGATCTCATAGCTGGAGCTATCCTTGATGTTCCTCTTCCAAGTAATTAAACACCTACTTGTCCTAATTAGTTCTGCGGTTTAAATTCTTCATCTTCACGGACCTAAACCAAGAAAAAAATCCTCAAATTAATAATGGAATTCACCCCCCCCCCCCCCCCCCTCCCGACCTGCCCTATATTACCAACTAAATTCTACTAGCGTAGGTTTTGTAAGGATGTTTTTACTTGGACTGTAATTTTCTGTGGGTGAAACTTGAACCGCTTTGCATAGAATTGAAATTTTATATCTCTTGTTTTGATGACCATTTCTCATTATATTCGAATTTGATTTATGCTCAGTGTAACTTTTAGTCCGGTTTCTAAACACTTAAATTTTAATTATTAATATGGACTTTACTAATAATTGAAAAGATTTAACTTTTTCATTGTAGTCTTAGATTATCAGCGTCCAAAAAGGTTGAATCCCCAACCCCAAGGGCCCCCCACCCCGATCCGACAGGATGGTGGGGGAGTAAATCACGGTGACTCAGTCGGCAAAGCGGCAGTAGACCTTTACTCGTGCGCACCAGAGGGTCAGCCTTATTTCAGGTTCTGAAAACCCTCTTTTGGCCGCTGCGGGATTCGAACTTTGGTCTACGTCCGATTTTTTCCACCGCTCGACCAACTGAGCTACTCGTGCGGGTTAGTCTTAGATTATCTGAAATGATTTTGCATTGATCATTTTTATCATTAATAAAAAAGTTTTTCCTTTAAACTTTTTTTAGCAATCAACTTGAGAGTGATTAGTTTATGTACTCCTATATTGTTGAAAAGTGTTACCAACTTGGTTGGAACTTGGAAACACTCAACCGTTATGCGCGTGGACATGTATGCACTAAAATAAAAAAATAACACGCGTGTTTACTCATGTCCATTTAGTTAGTACCTGACTCATCCAAAATTAAATATACTCGTATTGACTTTCACTGTCATTAGTATCTCGATGTTCAAATACTATTACTCGGTCCAAAAGATAGAATCTCCCACCTTAGGAGCTCCACCCCGACCTGACAAGATGGTGAGGGAGTTAATCACGGTGACTCAGTAAGCAAAGCGGCGGTAGATCTTATACACGTGCGCATCAGAGGTTCAACATTATTTCAGGTTCCGTAACATCCACACGGCCGCTGCGGGTTTCGAACATTGGTCACTTGTTTCAATTTTCCACCACTCGACCAACTGAGCTACCCGTGCGGGTAAAATTAAGATATGGGTAAACTTTTTATAGTGACTAGCTCCACCGCTTTCACGGTCCCTTACCCCAGAAATCCAACTTTGACTTGGCCCTACGGGTTAGTATACACTACTTGACCCTACCACCTGAAGGTTTTTTTTGGGGGAGTATAGTACCACTGGTGCTAGTGGGACTCGAACACGATACCTCTCCTATGCAGGGGTAACCTCAAAACCTATTACTTAAAAGTACTATACGTGGTAGTATATAATTAAGAAATCAACAATAAAATAATGTTTCAAAAACAGGGAGTATTTGTTAGAAGAAATCATTCAAGAGTACTCTTGAATTTTATAGGGATTTTTTCTTAACTATGACTAAACTGAAACTCATTCGGTCATTCTCAAAAGTGATTACATTTACTTTTGGATAAAAATGTGATACTAAGGTACAAAAATGTGATACTAAGGTACTCCCTCCGTCCCGATCATTTCTTCCAATTTTTCTTTTTGGGTCGTTCCAATTAATTCTTACAACTTCCACTTTTGGAAAAAATATGTGGTTCACCTTCATTCACCTTTTTCTTACACAACTACAATCATACATTTTCACTTTATTCCCACTACCTAAATTTGCGATATCGGTCAAAATTTGAAGAAATGACCGGGACGGAGGGAGTAATAAACTTGAAAAAACATGATGTGATTGTTAATTTTTTTTTGTGTATTTTTAAGTCACCTCCACATCACATGTCACTGTTACCCATCAGTGTTACTTACTGCCGTTGGATTTTTTTCCCGATTATTCCTGACGAATATAAAAAATCCGAAGAAGTTTGGCAATGTTTTCCGGGAACTTTTCCGATTACTTTTTCTTTCGAATTTTTACATGGAAATTCATAAAACTATAAAAAATAATTTTCCGGGGACAATCATGGCATGTGTTGTGTTACTTGTGTAGGAGGCCGTGGACAGGGGTAAGTAGTTGGGAAGGAATCAGTATTAAACAAAATATATTAACCAAACAAAGCTTAGTCACGTTCTTTTAAAATCAAAACTAAATATCAGGGGCAGAACTAGTAGGAGGCTAGGAGGGGTTTGAGCACCTGCAGTTATTTATTTATTATTTATATATTAAATAAAAAATTATTTAATAAAAATGTGTGTTATATATATTAAGGTGTAATAACGATTGTGATAATCATAGAGATTGCAGCAGAGCGGAGATGTATTGCATGTGTGTGGTCTTTTTAAAAGGTTTATGGTTCGAATCCGATCTTTGTAACTTTTATATTTTGCTGTACAAAAAAACATTTTGTGTTACAAAGGAGCCAACAATATTTGCATCCTCTTGTCGTGGCCTGCCTTGCCAGAGATTGGAATTCCAGGGTCACAGCAAGCCCCTCCAAGGTCACCGACCTGGTTCCACCACAGAAACTAATCATATTTCGTCTTTCAAAAGTGTAACTGTGATATTTTTGACATTATTCCAATTTCCACAAATAACAACAACATCCGAGCCTTAATCCCAAAAGAATTATTTCAATTTCCAAATGAGTAAATCAATAAAAAATCACAGGATAAAAATATTATCTATTGCCTAAATAAGAGTAAATTGCCAAATTGGCATCATCACTTTATAGCTTGAGATACTAATATGATAATATTAATCTGATGATAGATGGTGTTTTCAAATTATCATAGTTATCACTTATAGTTAGAAGAAAAGATATAATACCTCTATTTTGAAATTTTTCGTTTAAGGCAATTTCTTTAGGTGCATGCTGTGGTCTCCAATTAAAAATGAGAATCCTGAACTTATAACACATATGATTGATCCATATCATCAATTCCTCATTATTTATATTTTAATTATTTAATTACAATATTTTGATTGATGTGTACGAAGTTATGAACAAAGTACGGTAACCTTGGGTACCTACGGCTAAACTAGAATTTGCCATTTATTTATTTAAATTTTGGCCATTCACTCGGAAAGAATACTTCCGGGAACTGTCTCTGCTTTACTACAGGGGTAAGACTGCATACTTAGTGGGAGCCTTTGCGGCATTAGGGTAATGATAATGATGATGACTCGGAAAGAATACTCCAAAATTAGTTTTGACCTCATTTATGTTCTGCATTTGCAGCATGTAAATCAATGATAAACAACGGATCACTGGACTACCCACTGCTTGTTCCAAATGGGAGTGTAGTGTTCACTGCTGGCAACTGCGTATCTTGCAAGTGTGATGCTCAGGCCGCTGCCGCTGTAAATAACTGGAAGTAAGTCCGTCCAGTGCCTCCCCTGTATAAATAATATTTACCACTCAATGATCTGTCTGTGTGCTAATTAATGATCTGATTCTTGGAATGGATAATGGAGCAGTTTAGAATGCCAACCCACACAGCTGAAATCGTCAATTTGGTCGAAATGCCCGAGCACGTCGTGCCAATTTGGTGGCTCGGTTAACGGTGATAGTAGCTGTGCCAGCGGCAGCGACACAACTTCCGGGACATGTACATATGCTGGCTACACCAACCAAACCATTCTCACTGCCACCCTTAACTCGACTTGTCCCCGTAAGTGCTTCTGTCGATCTCTTCATGTATATATGTACTAATTACAATGGAGGCAATTGAGTCAAGTCGCTCGTGACTCGCTCAGTCACATTATTCTACTCGAGTTAGGTTAATTCCAAACTCGAGCCGAACTCGCTCATTTATATTTGGCTCGTGCCTTGCTAGCTCGATAGTTAGTCATGTCATATATATGTTTGTAATTTTGTTTGTCAGAATATGGAATTTCTAATATTCAAAGTAGAAGATTTGTTTTTGAAAGGAACAAGAACTCTAATTCGAGCATGAACTCATTTGAACCTCATACTATTAACGAGCGAAACTTGAGACGAGCTCGAGCTGAAAACGTTTGAGCTCATGCACAATCAAGTTTGAGCTCCGCTCGTTCTTTTGCACTCCTACTCACTACTCTCGAATACATGTCTATTTCAATCTTACTGTAATTATCAAATGGCCTGATCAATGTAAGTTATTCCTGTATTTTTGGGCTGCAGAGAAGGATGGAGGATCTGCATTAAGACCTCAATATAATTGGAAATGGCGCTTGATACTCACCTTGTTGTGTTGGACAGTTCCCATCTCAAGCAGTTACATGTTTTGATTGTGAATAAAGTCATTAGTTAAGTTGTGTGTGTCATGCTATTCTCCTCTCCTCCTTTTTGTGTAATCCGGCCCAATTACGGTTTAATTTGTTTTGCTAGTCATCATCAACATAATTATCATCCGAGGTTTGTATTGTATCACTATCTATTGTTTTCTTATGTCTGTGTGTGAAATGTGTGATTGGTGATCTGCTTTCACTACGTATGGAAGCATTCATGATGATGGTAAATGACGATTACAAATGGATGTACTTTGAAATTTTGAATCGTAATGTACATCTTTACTAACAAGTACTTTGAGTAGTCATTTTTTTCACCAAACATGTAAACTTTGATTTTGTGCACTGTATTGGGTAATAATAAGAAAATTTAAGGTTGAAGTTATTTTTTTGTCTGTATTGGCTGAAGTTACTATAGAGGATCATTATAGCTATTTTTCATATAAATTTTTCTTTATTTAATTGATAAAGTACATTTTAAATATAGTTTTTTCATAAATCAGTGAATTCATAAATTTCAGTAGAATCGGCCGATTTTAGTATTACCAAACGGAACGATGCATACATGACAATATCTCTCTCCTTATCTGAACGATCTTATATACTTTTAGTAAGTTTTTCTTCACACAATCACGCATTATGTATGGATGTAGACATTGTGAATGACATTGTCGAGAAACCCCTACCAAAAACATATAAGACTGTTGAAAGTAACATAGAGAAATGTCATAAGTTTAATATTTTGTTTCTATATCTCTCATGTCACATGTGCATCGTACACATTGTAGCATTGAAGATGCTCTTATAAGGAGCGGAGTGGAGAGGTGGAGGGGGTAATACATACTCCGTATTTAAATTTAAATCAACATATATGTGACTCTCCCGATTTGTACCACTGATATCTTGTAAAAAAATCATGATCTTGAGTTATTGATCATATAACCATGCACTTATGATTTGTTTGACACAAGATATCAATGAAGAAAATTATACAAAAGAAAATAATGAAATAAAAAACTTTACAAGCATGATGAAAGAGAGGTCATGTTTTACTAATTACATGTGATAGGGAAAGGAGGATAATAAAATAGAAATTGCCCTAAATAGGAGTGAAAACGTTTTGAAATTCCAAAATAGGAGTATCATGTTTTTTATTCCTTGAATAAGAGTAATCTGCCAAGTTTGGAAAAAATGTCATGTTTAAAAGTCTAGTAATGCCAAATTTGGCAGAAATTTACTTCTATTTAGGGAATAAAAAACATGATACTCCTATTTTGGAATTTCAATTTTTTTTCCTGCTATTTAGAGAATTTACTCATAATAAAAAGGAAAGTGAGAAAATGGTATGGGTGATAATTGTTGTATATGTATCTATAAAAGATAAGATTATTACAATTATTGTTGTTACGTAGTATATCTTAGCATAGTCTTTCATTCGTCAAATATAAGAATATCTTTAAATTTGGGAAGAATTTTATTGGACGAAGGGAGTGTACATTAGACTTGAAATACCACAGTCCAATTAAAATCATCATAAATTTGTTAAAAGTACTTTCATAGAATTATAAAATTTATAATTTCCATAATATTATACTACCTCTGTCCCTTAAAACTTTGTAAAAGTTGATCGACACGAATAATAATAAAGTAAAAACTGTGTGGTTGAGATTTGTGCAGAGGAGAAAGAAATAACAGAAATCACAAAATAATTGATTAAAAGGAAAAGTGGTAAAGTTTTTTGGGACGTCCCAAAAAGGAAAGATGTTCAATTTTTCAAGTTCTATGAAAGTACTTTTAACAAATTTATGATGATTTTAAATTTTTAATTGGACTGGTATTTCAAGTCTAATGTACTCCCTTCATCCCATAAAATTATTCACAAAGTTTTAAAGAACGGAGGGAGTACTAATCAAAATCAATGTTCAATTTTTTTGAAATGACAAATTGTTTTGGGAGGGAGCTAGTATTAATTTAATTTTGAGTTTTTGCCACTTTTAGTCCCCCGACTATTGTGTCAGTGACACTTTTGGTACTCGACTTTTAATTTTTCCACTTTTAGTCCTCGATTATTGTGCGAGAGACACTTTTGGTATCCGTCTTTGAAAATTTCCGTATTTAGTCCTTCGACTTTTGTAGAAATGACACTTTTGGTCCTTCAACTATTGCAATAGAGACAATTTTAGTCCTCCACTTATTATGTCAAAATCATAGTAGAAGGACTAAAAGCGTCAATTTGATAATACTCAAAGGACTAAATGTGGGAAACTTGAAAGTAGAGACTAAAAGTGTCTCACAAACAATAGTCGAGGACTAAAAATGGAAAAATTAAAAGTCGTGTACAAAAAGTGTCATTGACACAATAATCGGGGATCAAAAATAGCAAAAACTCTTTAATTTTCTCGTTTTTGAAGTTATGAAGACAGTTAATGAAAGGATTCCCACGTGATAGGCATATAATTAGAATGGCGGGAACAGTTATTGATTTACATCGTACGCACGTGGAAACTGAGTGGGGATAGGGACGACAATAACCGTTATCGTCAGTTCTTCATAAGGAAGACATCCCTTCTCTTACAAACTTTTTCTTCTCTTGATGTTCTTTTCGTCTCCTTCCTCGACCCTGGTAACAGAGAAATTGAGTAAAACTAGTTAAGGATGATAAAGCAAGGCAGTCACGATTTCTTCAACCCTGCTGGCAGCCATATCTCTGCCACCGACCAGCAGAAACCGCTTCCTCCCATATACAAGAAGCGAAGAAGAAGCAGAACGATGATGGTGGGCATGGAGGAAAATCAGCAGTCTTCATCTTCCTTCCCTCCCGTTGGTGGAGGAAGCAAGGGGCATGGCCCGGTGGTCCCTACTAGCGCCTCCGACAGAATGCCGCAGTGCACGGAGTGCGGGAAGAGGTTCTGTTCTTGGAAGGCCCTGTTTGGACACATGCGCTGCCATCCGGAAAGGCAGTGGCGTGGCATCAACCCTCCGCCGAATTTCACCAGACCGCCACCTGTTGCCTCATCTTCTCCTACGAGCCGCCGCAGCTTCTGCTGGGGAGGAGATGGTCATGATGATGATGATTATGAGGTGGCAGGGTGCCTGTTAATGCTTGCAAATGCTGGCGAGAGGCGGCAGAGTCCGCAACATCAGCAGCAGGCAGCGCTTAGGATGGATGATGAAATATCCATGGCAGTCGTGCCATTTGAATGCTCGGGTTGTAATGATAATAATAGTAGTAGTAGTTATAATAATAACAAAGCAGGAGCAGCAGGAGTGATGTTAATGGCGGGCGTGGGGGAGGAGGAAGAGAGGCACAGGTGCAGCATCTGTTTGAGAGCCTTCTCAAGCGGTCAAGCACTGGGCGGGCACAAGAGGCGCCATTGGCTCAACAAGATTCCTCCTCCTCTTCCACTGCTAATTAAGAGTAGCATTGGCCCTGACCAAGGCCATCCTCATCCCAGTCCAGGCGCCGGGGCTTACTTGGATTTGAACTTTCCTGCAGCACATCCAGCACAAGATCGTCATCATCATTCTTCATCACTGCCTGATGTTTACAACTCTTCTACCTATGGCCTGCCTAATTTGGAGTTAAGATTGGCTCTCTAAGCACCGGTTAAGTTGGACGGTGTTGAATACTTGAATCTATACTATATGCCTTATTGTTAGTTAGTTCATGTATTATTAGTCTAGCTTATCAATTACTAGCAATTAGCTAGTTACAGTGCTTGTGCTATTGCTGGCCTGATTTCCATTAATTGTACTGATATATTATTAACAACTGTTGTATTGTTACTGCTCCTACACTCAAGTATTAATAATTCTCATCAGATTATGATTTGACTGGCACATATCTATACAGATACACTTGTATCTGTTTTTACAGTCAACCAGCATATTGTTTGTCGCTGCAGACAATGTTTTGGTGCCTAGCTACATTATTTGGACTTCAAAAGTTCGTAAGACGTAAAGAAATCAAATAAAATTCTTCAGTAGGATAGTTTTAAGTCGATATTCATGTGAACCCAATCGGTACAGGGTACCTCTATTTTATTTGTTGTGTAGCATGAAAGGCTCATCTGTACTTCCATGTAAAATAAAAAAGATAATACATATTCTTTCGGGTGCTCTATAGCTAGTTCTGTGCTAAAGATACTCCATATGCATTAACACATTCAACTCTGAGACTGAATGGGGGGAGGTGCGCGGATACACTCTCAGACGCAGACAACAACTTCACGATTACCACTTTCAAGGCTTAAACAGAACAAACATTTATAAATATCAACATCTCCTAGAGATCGCCTCTGAAGATCATAGGCTTCCTTGGTTCCTCCTGGTTTAAACAGTTAATGGATTCCAAAGTATCTCCTGGTTTTGATGAGAGCAATATTTTCAGATTTTTAATTATTTGCGACATTTCTCCACTGCTTTCTGTGGAAAATTACATTTTGTTGTCTGACGTTTGAATAGATAGACACATGTTCGTCGTTCCCGTTTACAATCTACCGTACAACTTTGTAAAGGCAGACAGCATGGAAATACCCACTAGCCTTCTAATAAGCTGAAGTAGGTAAGCTACTCATTCAGGAGATTGATGAATCCAGGGTGCCATCCAACTATACATTCTCTGATCTTTGGAGAATATATAGACACCCACTGGTTATCTGATACACATTGGTTATAATCTGGAGCACATTCATAAGCACTTAAGCAGATGGAAATATCTCATATAGTGTGGGCCTGTAATGCAAGTAGGAGATGGTTAGTTTCATTTTTCTCTGCCAGTAGTTTGATTGGTTATAATTATAATTTCCCAATAACCACCAGGAAGATGTCCACAGAGCAGCAGGTGTTCATTTTCTTGTGTACTGAAGATCCAAAATGTACATATCTCACGAATAAGAAGCAACTTACGGGTAGCAACATCTCACATCTGGTCCACCTCAGCAAAATACGGAGTTTATATACATGTAATGATGTCCAGCTGTCGAATCTCAAGGAGAAAATGAAGCGAAAAATTTAAGACCAAAATAGGAATTCTGTGTACATCATTTTCTACTTGAAAGAGCATCATCCCACGCAATCAACTTTTATCGATGAGTGTAGTCGCTCAATAGCAAGGCACAGGTCGTCTGACAAACAAGTACGGTTATTGCCAGCATAAAACTCGCATGCCCTGCCATTTATATGTACTAAACTGTAAGCACCTCCAGTACTCATGCCTTCTCTATCATTCATTAACCATCTCATTCTGGTGGCATCAGTCCACAAATCACTAGAAGCATACATGCTTGAAGCGAGCAAATATGCAGATGAGTTTGATGCTTCTAATTTAAGGACCTGAGGGAGCATACCAAATCCAATCTCATTGTTCTCGTGAATTCTACAGCC